ATCAGAGAATGCTTGCCAAAAGTTAGCACATCTTCCCTGCAAATTCCAGATGGAGGAGGAAGGGAGTAGCACTGGATCTGATTGAAAGACAAGATGTGGAGAAAGGAGCAATCGATTTTCCAGTACCATTGGATCTCTTACACTTTGTACCTTCAGGTCCCTGAGAGGGGAATGGGCACAGGCTGGGATGGCACAGAATCATGGCTTTCTGGAAGCTAGACTCGGTACTAGTTGCAAAAGGGGCTGTCTCGGGATGTATTGGAGACACTTGTGTTTTGAGGATTCCTGTCACTGTCACTGTCACTTGTGACAGACACAGAATTCTGGCTCCTCCAAGTGCCCAGGTAAGTCCTGGCTGGAAACAAAAGCCCATCTGATCTCTGCAATTGCTTCCTTGGATCTCATCAGCAATATCTGCATCCAAAAATGACCCCTGAGTGCCGACAATCCAGCTGAGGAATATTAGCCCAGGGCACCCATCAGCTGGAGGGAATTGGCAGCACTGGACACTAACATTCATTGGAGCAAGCATCTGAGTGTCTGACAGCAGCATGAGTTCTTTCTCCTAGCGTTGCGTTGGGTTTGCGAACATGGCTGGGATTATCCTCACCTGTTCTTGCTCAATAACGGACCACGGAGATGGCGTTTCACGGCCTTTACTTTTCCTGGCACATCCTAGCACTGAAGCTCGTTAAAGTCATAACGTCGGATAGCAAGGCGTCCTCGTCACTCTCACTGTGTTCCCAGAAACCCCTCATTTACAACAGACTGAGACAGAAAAAAAAATTCCAGAGTAATTTAAGATGAAGCAACCATGGATTTGTAAATCTTGTTTTATTGGCAGTCACAGCAGCTAATTCTCCCCAAATGCCTAACAGACTTTCTAATTCGACAGGCACCATACCAGGCTGGGACAGCTCAGTTGCAAGCCATGTGGCAGGGAAATGTACCGCTGTGGCTTTGTCACCAGCTTCTTGGCTGTGGGCACTGGGTCTGTAGCCCATGGACCCTCCTCTACCCTGAGGTGTTGTGTCTTGGTTGTAGATCCCAGGAGTTCTTTCAGAAGCTTGTGTGTGAAGTTAGATGTCAGAAGACAGCATTTGCTCCTTGTTGTGTGTTTTTTTTTTTTTTAAGTTATTGCTGTTGCTGTATTCCAATAGCTGCCAGGATTCAGGGAATATTGGGAACAGTGACTTGAGGTGGCCAGCATGAAGAGGAACACAGGAAGCAGGCTGAAAGAAGACCTGGAATCTTACTGTTTCCGTGTCACGGCTGCGAGGTGGGGCCGCTCCCAAACAGCCAGATTGTTGTCAAAGTTATCACTGACAAGACACCTGCCCTGGAGTGGGATCCAGTCGAGGTCAGCAAGAGATCTTTCTGCCTCCAGGGAAGCATTCTGATAGGATTGCCAAAGCCCGTGAGACAAGAGGAGACCGAAAGCAACTGTCCCACTTCATAGTTTAAGCTTTACTGAGCTTTATGGAAGATACCAGAAAAATTGCTGGTATAGAGTATGTAGAGGGAATCAGGATGGGCATGGTGGCTTTGTGTCCCTGCCCTTCCCTGTTCCTCTTTGTCACCTTTCTTGCCCTGACTGTGCCCAAACCTCTTAAGCAGCCAGAGCAGAGGGGTTGTGTCCCTGAGTGCCATGCTGGCCCTTGTCCCAGAGCAGATGGCAAGGAGCAGGGGGCTGGGGAGCAGTCTTCATCGTTGCCAGGTGCTACCCTGAGCAAGGAAAGGGTCCTAGCTGAGTGAAGGGCTCTGTTTTAGGGCCCATCCACAGAGGCTTGGTTGAGTTCCTGGCTTGTAACTGCTTGCTGCCCAACCTCGGACTCCTGACAGCTTCGTACCCCACTGGGCCAAGTTCCCAGGTTCTTCCCTCTACTGAGCAGAGACAAGTGAGTGTTTGAAGAAGGAGGGCTTAGAACGATGAAAGGGTGTGGAGCCCAAAGTCAGAAGACTTTATGGATTCTGTGATTTGGGTCTTTTGATACATTTTCTGTGTATGAAGGAACTTCAAAAAGTTCAGGAAAAAATAGAATGAATGATGAATTTATTTTGATGCAAAACTTTTGAAATCCAGGCACAGTTTTTTTTTTCTTTCATATTACACATTCTCATGAACATGAAGACCTCGTACAAAGTCTAGCCATTATCTTCACATCTGCTATTAGTCTGCAAGTCAGGTCTTCTTACAGGTGGATCACCCAAGTTCATTGAGTCTGTCCCATCCTCTCTTGATGGTCACCAAACTTGTCTGTTGCCCAAGGTTGTGTTTCTGATAATGAGGTCTTTGCAGGCACTGCATCACCTGGGCGGGCGGTATGTTCATCAGAAGTTCTGTGCTCTGAGATGCTTGAGAGAAGCTACTTATAAAGGAATATGATTCCTTGTGGCTTATGGTTTGGGAGTTTACAACCCAGCCCATTAGCATCTGATGGGGGTGACAGCATAATGAATGTGAAAGAAAGATACCCAAGAGACAGGAAACACCATTAGTCACTGTGGTCATGTGTCTTTCTTTAGATAACCATCATGATTCAATCACAGGGCTCTGCCAACTTGGTCCAATTTGCCAAAGTCCCAACCCTCAGCTATCACAGATTCCTTTTCATCCCTTATCCAGTAACTATGAGTGTAAGATTTTGGCGATCAAGATCCTAACATGTGGATTTTGGGGGATGCATGCAAGACCTATTGAATCAGACTATGTTTTTCCAAATTCCTGTTCTTGCTTGCTTTTCTTTTGTATTGAGGCTAAGCTCATATGCATTACAGTACCAGAATCTTTAGACATTGTTAGTTCAACTTACTGGATCAATTTTCCTGGCCAGGAAGCTCCCTCCTGTCCTTTCCAGACCCACTCATCTCCCACAGGTACTTACAGATCTGCTGTCCATCTTCAGAGTGAAGTTTTCTGCCACTGACTTTTATAGGACTCTGGGTTCTGGCCTCCTTCTCTTAATCTTGTGCCTAAGAGAGATATCCACATAGTTGCTTTTATAATAGCTCATACTCTTTTATTGTGATTCATGACCTGTCATACGTGGATACAACAACCCATCAGTTCATTCTGTATTGGATGGTCTCTGGTTGGTCTCCAGACTTTTGGTGGTACAGTAGAGCCACTAGAAATGTTTGCATGGATGCCTGTGAGTGCTCATTAGTTCTCATTTCTGTTGGGTGGGGAATTGCCAAGTCACAGGGTAAATCTTTGCTTCGCTGTGGGAAAGGACTAACCATTTTCCCAAGTCGCTGAACTAGTTTATCCTTTGACATGGATTGTTGAATGAAGACATGGATTGTTCTGTGTTCCTGTCCACACTTGGTGTTGTCCAGACTTTTAATTTCCAGGCATTTGGGTTGCTGCGCTGTGACATCTCATGATTTGGATTTGCGTTGCCTCAGTGGCTCATGATGCAAGAACTATTTTCTGAGCTTATTGGCTTATTGGCTTCTTTTGTGATGAAGTTGATCAAGTCTTTTCTACCATTTATCCTTGTCACTTATAGGAGTGTCTGTTAATGGCCTTTAATCCATGAGTTTGTTATTAAAAACCCATCTGGATGGCCCAAGTTGGTGACACTGATGTCAGACAGTCACCCCAGGGTACGTGTAAGTTGTTGAGTTTTCTTGAGCCATCATTACTCTGATTCCCACAGAAGCAGCTCACATTCTGCCCCATGTCCTTCTGCTTTGCTCTGTAACAGCAGTTTCCTCTCAAATTTCTTTCAAACAAATTTCAGCAACAATGAGCCACATGAAGAAAGGGGGCTGTAGCTTGTCAGTGAAGGCTGGCCGAGTGTGAGCTTAAAGTCTAGAGATGCCAGAAGCATGGCCTTGGGGCAGGATTGATGAATTTGGCAAGCTTGTCAAAGATGTACGGAGTAGGGAAGAGATGAGCAAAGGTAGAAGGCTTTAGAACTTTCTTTCTCAGCTTTCTCTTCATCATTCCATGTACTGCAACCCACTGCCCCCTCCGCCGCCCCCGCAAGGGTCTCCTTCATCTGCCCTACCTCTGCCTTTTCTCTCTGCCTGGAGCCCATGGCAAAGAGGACAGATATTCAATTGGTTTCTGTGTGTGTGAGAGATAAAGAGAGAGACAGAGACAGAAAGACACACACAGAGAGACAGAGAGAACGTGAGCTGCTTTGGGCACTGGGAAGGAATTGTCTCATTTCCTTCCAGCTTCCTGCCAGCTGTGTCAGGTCTACTAACTTGGTAAAGGGCTCCCCATCTCATCTCTCTAATACCTGCATGAATCAAAAAAGGGGAATTCCACATTTTGGAGTGTTCAGTTTTTAAAGAGTCTGAATTTGTCTGCTAGGTAAGCATAGCAGAGACTGGGAGAGATGGTGGAGATGGAGTGGATGGGGAGTGCATGTTACTTTTGCCTTTGGTAATGGAGTGGGTTCCTTTGTTGCCATTTTTTCTCTCAACTCAGAGACACCTTATGGCAGGAAGTGGTGAGTTGGTGGGGAAAGAGGAACAAAACCACTGTGCATGCCATGTATGTATGTGTGTACATACATGTGTGTGAGTGCCTGTATGTACATGTGTAAATGGGGGGAGTGTTTATGTGTCTGTGAATGCATGTGTAAATGTGAGTGTATGTGTGTGTGTAATGGTGTGAGTAAACATGTACAAGAGTGTGTGTGTGAGTGCAGGACTTTGTGTGTGTGTAGGAGTATGTGTGAGTGGAGTGTATACCTGTTGTTAGTGTGTGTGAGAGTTGTGCATGTGAATGTAAGTATGTGTGAGTGTGTGAGTGCACGTGTGTATACGTGTGTGTGAGTGTGTAAGTGTGTGTGTGTGTCTGCTCTCCTATCATAGCCTCCTGCAGTTTGACAGACATTGACTAAATGGTCTCAGAGGATACTCAGAGCTATCTAACCATTCACAAAAATGTATAATGATTGTTTGTAGGTGTGTGTTGTGTGAGCTCTGGCAGTTAAAATGATGAATCTGACTCAGCTAAAGATCTCTTTTTCTGCTCATAGGCTGGCTATGACGGTGAGAGTATTGGAAATTGCCCATTTTCTCAACGTCTCTTTATGATTCTCTGGCTAAAGGGTGTTATATTTAATGTGACAACAGTGGACCTGAAGAGGTAAGACAAGGTTTTTTTTCCCATTATTGAAATAAATATTAATTGCCCCCTCCATCCATACACGTACATGTAGGTACACACACACACACGAAGATCTGTGGACATCATGGGCACATATCCCGCCCCAGGCAGGGGCCTGGTGAGGGCCAAGCAGCGTAATTGGAGGAGGACTGCCTGGGATGTAATCAGAAGGAGGGGAGTAGTTGGAGCCTTAACAAACCTGCACTGCCAGCTTCTGGTTAGGGGTGCACTTGCCTGAAGCCTGTTTGAGCACCAGACCAGGCTGATAACACTGTGGCTAGTTAGCTTTCCCACCTCTGTGTCCAGGCACGGCACCACAGAGGAAGAATTTGGTCCATCATTTGTTAGTGCTTCCCTTCGATTTTCATTCCAGTAAGACCTCTCATAAACCCACATCTCCTTGGAGATTCTCAAGGGTTGTTGTTCCTATGCTGGGGAGGACATTGCTAAGCCTTGGGAATGAATGCAAATATGCAGGGCTACCTCCCAGTGGTGCTGTCGCTCATCTCCCAGGAAACCCGCAGATCTGCAGAACCTAGCTCCTGGCACCAACCCGCCCTTTATGACGTTTGATGGTGATGTCAAGACGGACGTGAACAAGATCGAGGAGTTTTTGGAGGAGAAACTGGCTCCACCGAGGTAGGCCTTGTGAACGAATGCTATTGGTTGTCATGGTTGTCCCCTTTACCAAAGGCTTCTGACACTCTTGGCTGAGTGTCTTTGGTTTTCTGCAGTTCTTGTGCTTCCTTTCTTGGTCTTGCCCATTGGGTGTCACAGGACATGCAGGGCCAGATGGGAAAGCTGGAATCAGGGTGGGCTGCACCCCTCTATGTACCTGCAGTTTGAACATCAGGGTGAGATGTGGTCATGCAGAAGGAGCTGGGATGATGCTGTGCAATCAGCTATTTCTGGAAGCAATGGGATGCTGATTAGGACAAAACGTCTTGGAACACGAGACTGGAAGAGAACCTTCTAGTCCCATGCTTTCATTTGGCCAGGGTGGTCAGGTAGACTTTGTGTCCCAGGATTGGTCATTGTTAGGACAAAAATTCTTGGCCCAGAGCCCTTTGCTCACTGTTGCTTCCCAAATTCTAAGTAGTAGAAAGAGTAGAAAAACATAAGGTAGCCTTAATTTTTCACAGTCCACTCCTCTCCTGGCCTCCTAATTGGATAGCCTAACTGAAAAATACCATTGCTCAGTGACATCTAAACTTTGAACTTTTTAAAGGTACCCTAAGCTGGGGCCCCAGCACCCTGAATCTAACTCAGCAGGAAACGATGTCTTTGCCAAGTTCTCAGCCTTTATCAAGAACACCAAGAAGGATGCCAACGAGAGTGAGTACTTCTCAAGTCCCCCTTTTCTGTTGCAGCATGCTCTTCCATGTGGCCTCTGGTATGGCCGCTTGTTGGAGGCGCGTCATCCTGACTCATGTCACAGAGGGTGCCTCCAAACTTGACTCTAAACCTGGGTTTCCAAAGAGAGAATACTGGAGGCTAATAACCGAGAAAATGGTATTTTTTAGGGAAAAACATTCATCACCCAGATGTTCCTAGTTGGACCATGGAAGTCTTGTTAAAATGATGCTCCTGCCAGTGCCTACCTCATCGTTGGCTTTCCATAAACATTGTTGTTGAGTCAGTAGATGAGTTCTAGAAGGAACGCTGTTGCATAGACAGTGCAGTAATTTTCCAGGGAGGAGTGAATCCTTTTTTTTAGCTATTCTTAGTCCACATCCTCCCGTGTGGGTTGACAGAGGCTAAGAAGGGAGAGAAAGAGACATTCACCTGCACAGTCCATCTTAGTGCCTTCTTGTCTGTGTGTTTTAGTTTATGAAAAGAACCTGCTAAAGGCCCTGAAGAAGCTGGATACGTACCTAAACAGCCCTCTGCCGGATGAAATAGATGCCGACAGCCCTGAGGACGTCGCTGTTTCTGGAAGGAAGTTCCTGGATGGAGATGAGCTCACACTGGCCGATTGCAACCTCTTACCCAAGCTGCACATCATTAAGGTTTGTCTTTTCTCCTCGTGCAAGCACTCAACTGGGGAATGAAACTGAGTTTTGGTTTGACTTGTGTATGGGCCAGACACCAAAGCATCTAAAAATTAGGGCTCTTGAATGAAACATTCTAGCTCATTTCTTTATAAGGCAGTTCTCTTGGGCTCTTGTTATTGCTGTAACAAAATACTAGAGGCTGGGAAGTATGTAAATCATAAAAGCCTGTTGAGCTCATGGTAGAGAATGAAAGTCCAGGATCAGGCCTCTGTTCTGCTTTGGTGACGGCCTCATGGTCAGGTGGCATAGCAGGTGGAGTCACCATGACAGGGTTGTATGCAAGACAGGAAGCCAGAGGGATTCTTGGGAATGTGAGAGAGCTCACATGATGAGAAAGGAAGACAGAAAGATTTGGGGCTAGATGTGATTCCAAGCCTATTCAACTTCTTTTAGAAAGTTTTATTTATTTTTATTTGAAAGGGAGAGAGAGAGAGAGAGAGAGAGAAATTTCATCTATTGGTTCACTCTACAATGGCCAGAGCAGAGCTGATCTGAAGCCAGGAACTAGGAACCTCCTCTGGGACTCTCATGTGGATGCAGGGACCCAAGAACTTGATTTATAAGCCACAAGGAGGGAGCTGGATCAAAAGTGGAACAGCCAGGACACAACCTTTATGGGATGCTGATACTCCAGGTGTAGTATTAACTTGCTAGACCGTTGTACTGGCCCCTCCTTCTCCTCCTCTTTTCCTGCAAGTGTTCTACATGGACAGCAGGGGTCCAGCATTTGGGCTGTCTTCTATTGCTTTCCTGGGTTCATTAGTAAGGATCTGGATCAGAAGTGGAACAGGTAGGACTTGAACCGGCACCCATATGGCATGCTGGCTGTGCAGATGGAGGCTTAACAGGATAAGCCACAGCACTCCCCCCCCCCCCACCAGTTTGTTCTTTCAGGAGCTAACTAATACCCCTTGAGAACCTTGCCCATCCCTTCTCCAGGTAGTACACTAAAAACTTCAGTAACTCACACCATGGCCCTTTTCTTAGATGTTCCACCACCTCCCAAACTTGCATGTGGACCAAGCATCCAGCACCTAAAGCTTCAGGGGCAGATTCAAGCCACAGCCAAGCCAAAGCAGCAAACAACTCCCAAGCTTTAAATTCATGGAGTGATGAGTTTGAATGGTCCCATTCTTCTGCCCTCACTGCTTCCCTTCACAGACTGATCTTTGATGTGAAGGCAGCTTGAGAAAATTCATAAATTCCCCCGGTATCTAATGCTTGAGTTTCGGTGATGATGTGTGGGAAATGTGACTTTCAAATGTGAGCTCAGTCAAATGCTGGTGATTGTAGGGACAAACACAGTCCTTTCTAAAAAGGACAGAAGAGTTTCCTATCATTCTTTATTTTTAAGACTAATTTTGTTTGAAAGGCATTAGGGGTACAGCCACATACCAGAAACAAAGAACTCTTTTATCAACTGGTTAACTGCCTAAATTGTCCTAATGGCCAGTACTGGGCCATGCCAAAGCCAGGAGCCAGGAGGTTCATTTGGGTCTCCCATGTGGTGCAGAGACCCAAGTACTTGGGTCATCCTCTGCTGCTTTCCCTGGCACATTAACACAACTCTGAATGGGAAGTGGAACAGCCAAGACTTGAAGGTATACCAGCTCTGCAGGCAATGGCTGTACCTGCTGCATCACAGCACTGGTCCCTGTAAGCACATGGGAGAGCTGAAAGGAGCTCCTGGATCCAGAAATCCAGGACTTCAGTGTGTCCAAGACCTGGTCATCATAGCTACTTGCAGAGTGAAGCAGTGGATGGTAGATTTCTCTCTGTATTTCCTTCCCTCTCTGTAACTCTGCCTTTCAAATAAACCTTACTAAAAAGATCTTATGTCATTAGAAACGGTGAGATTCAGAGTTGGTTACAACAGTCCATGGCCCCAATAAAAGGCCTACCATCAGACTCTGAAAAGTCATTTAGCACTCAAATTGTCAAATAGCTTCATGATCTTTCAGGCTGGAGTACATCTGAAAGGAAATGAGAAGCAATCTAAGGGAATCATTATGAAAGATGAGCTTCATTGTTAACCATAGTGACATCACAGTGGACGCCTCAACTCTAAGCTTGATCCTTACCCCAACCCTAATGTACTGCAGAGTATAGCTGCAGGTGCTTGGGTGTCCATAGCCAACTGGTCTGCCTCCATTCCAAAAGTAGTCTGACGGCTACAGAGAATGAGGGAAAGATGTGTGATGGATTTTTGGGTCTGATTTTAAATCTTTAGTTATATTTACTTAGTCGCCTTTCTTGTTTCAGTAAAATAAATTCTCCAGAGACTTAAATAAAAGTGCTTTGAGATGCAATAATAACATGATCACCACAATGAAAATCCAGGAACCGAGAAGCTTTGAGCTGTGATAAACAGAGGATTTATTTTAATCCAAGACTATCTTAAGACCAAACATCAGTGGGGTTTGCAGGGAGAGAACATAGCCAGAATATAGGAAGCCTGACAGGGTTACAACTCTGAAAGGGACAAGAGAGAGAAGAAATGGAAGCATGGGGAAATGTACACATTTTCTCAGTTGTTATCAGGACAGGAGCATGCGAAGTTGTTAAGTCAAGTACTAGAGACATCCTGTGATTTAAAGGTCTGTAAGAGAGAGTTGAAACACATTATAACCCTTCTAAGTGATCTGAAATGGAATCTCTGCCAGTGGCAGGGGGAGGGGAGCTTGGGAGCTGAGGTCCAGGAGGAGGAAGGGGTGGAGCAGCCATGGGAAAAGGAAATTACATGAGATATAGGAGGAGGATCCTGGTGGAGAACGGAGGAAATTCATGCCAAGGCGGGTCTCAGGTACCATTGTGGTAACTCATGGGCAGGGTATGGAGTCTAGTATCTTTATCATGTTTCCCATGCCCAGGATGTTCCTATGCAAAGTCAGCGTGCCACTGGGGATGGCCAAATGACTGTAAGATCCCAGACATTGACAGAGAGAGTATGGTGCATGACTCAAAAGGACAGATGATCTGATCTGATGAACCGTGTGGTAGGTTTTCCCTTTACTGATCATTTCCTCTTCACTTTCAGATTGTGACCAAGAAATACAGAGATTTCGAATTTCCTTCTGAAATGACTGGGCTCTGGAGATACTTGAACAATGCTTACGCCAGGGACGAGTTCATAAACACATGTCCAGCCGACCAGGAAATTGAACACGCGTATTCAGATGTTGCAAAAAGGATGAAGTGAAGTTGGGGCATTCTCTGTCTTACTTCTAAGTTGAGTGGGCTTGACACCAAAAAGAATGTATTCACTGATATCCACCCTGCCCCGCCAAACCATTTTTCTTTTTTTTTTTTTTGCAAATGACAACCCATGTTATGTTCCATTCAGTGCCGCATGATCATGGTCTGGTCATTTGTAAACACACATACCGGTATCTATTGTTTCACATACCAGTATCTGTTGTTAAACACACCGAGTGACTAGTTGATGTTGAGTTTTATCTGTGACATTCACTGACTTTACATTTAGGATCCATGTTTTCCGTTCTGTCAAAGCAAATTATGTTTGGGTTTGATGTCCTCCAATGTTGAAACAAAATGGGTCTGTCTTTGATAGTATTCATTGTCATCAATAGTCTTCTTTTCTAAATTTCAACTTTAACTTCTTTCAAAAGGAAATTCTGCTTTTTAGAATTTAAAGACACACCATGCCTATATTAAAATAGCACTGGTGTGTAAAGAAGTTAAAAAAACACAGTCATCCCACAATTTAATTCACTTGATAACTTATTGATGGTAAGCATCTTCCAAATCTTCCATGTCAGGCACACACAGGCAAACTCAACCACACGACCTGTGCTCTCCTTGACGTGCGGTATAGTGTGTACTTTAGGAAACTCCGGATTTTGCTTTGATCATCAACCCCAAGGAACTGAACAAGGAAGATCGGGTCCTGCAGAGGTGGGGGAATGCTGTCATCTGCATTCTGAGAGGCGGGTTCATGGGCACAGAGACCAGAAGGAGCCCAACACCGCACATGGCCCCCATGCTCACTGAGATAGCCTCTAGGACATGAGCACGCTGCTGCCTTCAGTTCCAGGCATGGAGGAGGATGCTTGTCTCTGTGTTTGGTCCCAGCATCTTTCGCAGCCCCATCTTGGGCCCCTCCCACCGCTCCCTTGCTGAAGACTTTGCTTATAGGAGGACTTTGGACATCAGTGTATCCTGAGATGCTCCCTGCCCTGCGTGGAGAGCACACCTCACATACCCTGTTGGGATGCCATGTTGTTTTGCAGGAGGGCTGGAACTACGGGGAGCCAAGCCCAGGGGTGTGGCTGCTCTGCCCTGGGTGGTGTCAGTTGGTGTTGGGCAGGGAAAATCCAGGGAGATTAACCTCATGGGCAGTTCTGGTAAACAGTACAGTTAGGGAGGAAGTGGAAAGGCTTGACTCACAAGAATTTCTGCTTTTTTTGTGTGTGGCTTATCCCCAACCTTGCCACCCTCATTCACAGCTTTGCCAGGGGCCTGTGGTACTGGTGTGTCCCCCTCCCCCAGCATGGGGGCCAACCCCAGGGCCTCCATCAGACCCTTGAGGACCCTCAGCCTGTGTTTGTTCTACATTCACACGTGTCTGGCAACAGCCTGTGGCATGGGCTGTGGCTGATGGTTGATGCTAAAATGTTTATTTTTCCAGCACACATCTGCAGGATACAGGTGAGTCACTTGAAGGACAGTGGGATTTAGTGGAAAATGGGCAGTAAAGGAACAAAGATCGGGAATAACTTTTTTCCTCGTTTCCTACCTGTTGGTTTTGCCCTAGCTGGCTGCTTTCATTGTCAGTCACATTTTTTTTTTTGAATCCTTGTCTAGCCTGAGCACAGCGTTTGCATCACTTCATGTCTGTTATTTTTTAAATCTAGCTTCATAATGTTACTTTATACTTGGTAAATAAGTTGGCTAGCAGAGGTTCCTAGTGCTAATAACTTTGTCTTCTTAGATGTTAAAATGATCTACCTAAACTCTATGTGCCTTGAAAATTAAACAGATTGCAAAACACTTAGGTGGAGCCAATGTCCTTTCTGTGTTTGTAGCTTTACTCCACGATCCCCACTTAATAAAATGATCACACCTCCCTTATGGTGACAGCATATTTGATCAAAAGATGGTCAGTATTTAAATTAGAAGACAGTCTACACTGTATTTGAATTATGAACCACAAAGACATTTCCAGGGAGCTTTAAGAGGCCTGAAAAGGAAGTGGTGCCCTGGGGATACAGGTGACTTGTCCTCAGTCATGTGACTGAAATAATAGCTGTGCAGGCCTGGTCACTTGGAGAGCCTCCTCATCTTTCCCAGTGTTGACCCCGTCTTTGGCCCCACCCACCCTAACCCTGCCTCAGCCTGGCCAGCTCCTAGCCCTGCCCCCAATCCACAACTTCAGCCCTGCCCCTTCATTCAGCTCCTGGCCCCAGTCCTAGCCACACCCTGCTCTGCTTCCAACCTCGCCCCACCTTCCCTTTAGTAGCCCCTAAAAACCTTCCTGTTTGTGGGAAAGTGGTGGTTTTTATAACTAAACTGTTCTTCCAGACATGTCATACGGAACACAAATGGGCAAATGGTGAGTGACTTTGGTGGCTGACTGTGTGAGAGTTTCTTTAATAGACAGCTTGACAATTAGAAAAATGAAAGATGACAAGCCACAAGGGGACACGAGAGGATGACCAACTTGTCTTTTCTGGGTTCTGCCCAGCCAGCCTGGGTGTGAGGATGGGGTTGGCTCAGGGAGGGGGTTTGGCAGCTTCCAGTCTGTGGGTTTATCTCTGGGAGTTGAATGCTCACCAAAGGTGTGAGATACACACATGCACACAGATACAGCACTGCCACAAGCAACACATTTACACACTTAAATGTGCACATATATGTATGTGTATATATATACAGATATATATATTCATAGCACTGCCACAAATTTTGACATAAACTTTCCAAAAAAAGAATTCTTCAAAAGATTTAAGTAACTCTTGTTTTCCATAAAGCTTGATGTAGCAGTTATAAAATCATGCGCAGACCCACGCATAACAGTGTCTTGAGCATTCGCATCTGCACACATTCGTGCCGTCTCATGCAAACACTCATACCAGCACTGCCTACACACATACACCAGTGCAGGTAGGGCTCAGGACTTTGTTTCTTCACCCTCACTCTTAGCAAAAATTCCACTCACCCTTTGGTCCCTGCTTTCAGTGGTTCATGATCTGGGTTTGAAAATGTTTCAGAGAAACAGCTTAACAAAACAAACACAAGGGATTACTTCAACCTAAGAAACTTTTGCTTCACAAAGGAAACACTGAACAGTGAAAAGGCAACTATAGGAAGAGTGGAAATGTTTGCACACCATGCACCAGTTAGAGGATTAATATCCATGATCTTCAAATGCTCAAGAAACTCAATAACAGAAAACAATTCAGTTAAGAAATCGACAGTGAGGCCGCTGCTTGGCACACTAGCATCCCTTCTGGGTCCTGTGCACACCCCCAGCTGCCTCATTTCAGATCCAGCTTTGTGCAGATGTGTCTGGGAAAGCCCAAGTCCTTGGACCCACAGGAGACCTGGAGGAAGCTCCTGGCTCTGACCTGACCCAGCTCTAGTTGTTACAGCCGTTTTGAGAGTAATCAGTGGATGGAAGAGCTCGTTCTCTAACTTTGTCCTTCAGAGGAATACATGGCAAAGGACATGAGCAGGCATTTTTCAAGAGATGAAACCCCAAATGGCCAACAGACACATAAAAATGTTCAAGATCACTAGCTATCAGGCAAATGCAAATAAAAAACACGCTGAGGTTTTCACCTCACCCAGGTTAGAATGGCTGTCATTTGAAATGTTTTAAAAATGTGGATAAAGATGTGGAGGAAAAGTTAGAATAAGGTATTGTTGAGAATGTAAACAGGCTGTAAGGAGAGAATCCTCGGAAATCTGAAAATGGATTTATCGTATGATGCAGCCATCTCATTTATAGGAATTCACTCAAAAGAAATGAAATCAGCATAAGAGAGAGTTATCTGTAATGCCATGTCCCAGAGGAGACAACACGTGAGAAAAAATAAGTTTTTAAATTACTATTTATTTTAAATTTATAGAATATGAGTAGATTTCACATTTTTCATGGTACACATTTAGAAGCATAGAGATCCTTCCCATGCCTAAGCTCTCCATCTTCCCAGCCCTGACTAGTGCAGCTGTCTGAGGAGTAAACCAACAGATGGAAGATTTCTCTAGCTCGCTCTCCTCTCTCTGTAACTTCACCTTTAAAATAAATGTGTCTTAAATAGCAAAACCAAGGAAACGCCAAGCCTTCTTTTATTTTACAGGTAGGAGAGATAAGCGATGCATCATATAAAATGGATAAAGAAGAGGACACTTACATTACAAAATGTAATGGTTGTTTCATTCTATTAAGATTTATATTATTTACTTGAGAGGCAGACTTACACACACACACACACACACACACACACACACACACACACGAGAATCCATCCACTGGTTCACTCCCCAGATGGCTACAGTGGTCATGGTGGGGCCAGGTTGAAGCCAGGAGCCAGGCTGATCCTGCTTGTCTTCCACTTAGGTGCAAGGGCTCCAGCACTTGGGCCATCCTCTGATGCTTTCCTAAGCATCAGCAGGGAGCTGGATCATAAGTAGAACTGCCAAGACTTGAACCAACATCCACTATAGGCTGCTAGCATTGTAGGCAGGAGCCTAACCTAGCATGCCTAGTGGTTTAGTTCTGACATGTTCTGCATGTCCTGTTTGAATTGCAGTTTAACTTAGAATATCATGGCCATGTCTGGCCTCTGATCACCAGAGGATGAACAACTTGCTTCACTTGAGCCTCCACAGCCACAGTGTCTTCAGGGAGCCCCTCCTGCTGCCATGGTTCTGTTGGACAACCTGGCAGGAGTGACACCTTCCATTGCAGCCATGGGTTTGGTGAAGTCACTATTTACACTGTGGAAAATTCTAGCTGAGTGTGATAATTCTTGCCTTGAAGTAGGACTTTTAGGGAGATACCACAGCTGCCTCCTTCTGTCCGTCAAACCCAATAGGACAACTGGAATTCTTGGTCCAGGAAAGATTGTGGCCAGAGGTGTGGAGGAACACAGGTACCAGGAGGAAGGTCTCTAAGACTCAGGGTTGGGTTGGACCACCATGGGCATCAGACCCACTGAGCTGTTCATTTTGTCTG